CACCCTCTGATGGGTGATGCGCAGGCTGCTGGTGACACCGACCAACGGGGACGGGCTCTGGTACCGGCTGCTCCCGACGCCTGCTCAGCAAATCTGCCGGCCGTCTGCGCAGGGGAGCGGGCAGCGCCAGATGGGAAGGGCCGGCACCAGCAGCCATGCGTCTGCTCTGAGGATGCAGCTTCTGCAGATGAGGTGGAAACGGCGCTGCTGCTCTGCTCCTGGGGAGCCGTTCCCCATGCTCAGGCAGAGCGGGGCGATTCTCACGAGCCTGTGGGTTTTCTGACTCAGTGCTTCACAGCTGCACGCAAACACTCGTGCGTGGTTTCCCAAACTGCCAGCAGCGCTGCTCGGCAGGGCTTGCCATGGGAACATCCCCAGACAAAGCCAGCAGGGACCACTCCTGACATCGCCCGTATGTGCAAACAGGGCGACCGCCCACACCCCTGCCCACCCCATATCCTGATGCACGGACGGGGAGGCGTGAGCAGCAGGTGTGGAGTGTGACTGGTGGTGAGCGGTCCCTCATGTGCTCCCCGAGTGCCACAGCTGTGGGGCAATGCTGGCCCCAGGCTGGCGTGCACTGGACACACAGCATCCCCAGGGACACCAGCCCAGCTTACCCAGGCTGAGCTGTGCGGGGAGCTCCCCTTGGGAAGCAGCAGCTTGACGATCTCCAGGTTGTTGTGGTGCACAGCCACGTGCAGCGGGGTCAGGCCGTTCTGGGGAGGGAGAGAGGGCACACAGGGGTGAGACCAAGCCCCTTCTGCACCACACCACTCCTCCAGCGCCACAGCAGCCACACTCACTTTCCCTGCCGCGTTGGGGTGAGCGTCGCGTGTCAGCAGCAGCTCTGCCACATCCACCTTCCCGTACTTGGCTGCAACGTGGAGAGGGGTAAATCCTTTCTGAGGAGAAAGGCAGCCCATCACACGGTGCACAGGGATGAGGAGAGCAGCACTGGCGCACACACAGGGAGGGATGCTGCGGCACAGGAGGAGGCTCTCCCTCCCATGACAGGGACACCGAGCCACCAGCCTGCCCAGCCTTGACGCAGCCAGGTCACACCATCAGCAAGAGCGGCCGCAGCAGCCTACCTTGGTCATGCAGGTCTGCGAGGCCCTCTCCTCCAGCAGCGCCAGGGCCGTGTCCACATGCCCCTCTCTGGCGGTGATGTGCAGGGGTGTGTGCCCCGCGGTGGTGGCCAGGTTGGGGTTGGCGTTGTTCTCCAGCAGGAGCCTGACCATGCCAGTGTGGCCAATGCGCGCAGCACAGTGCAGAGGAGTCTGGTCATCCTGCAAGGAGGCAGAGAAGCTGTTTTGGCAGACCTGGACCAGTCTCTTCCTTGCCGCGCCCAAGGGGCCCTGGCCCTGCTCCTGCCATTGCACAGTCCCTGGCAGGCTGGGCTGTGGGCAGGCGAGAGCGAGGAAACCAGCGCGGGCTGTTCGCAGAGCTGGACCATCACCTCTGGACCCACCTTGGCCTTGGCGTTGGCTTTGGCTTTGTTCTGCAGCAGGTACTTCGCCACATCCATGTGCCCAGCTCTGGCTGCCATGTGCAGGGGTGTCTCCACTTTCTGCACCAAGGACAGGATAAAGAGGTGAGGCCACAGGAGGGGATGTTCCTTCCTACAGCCACATGAGAGCGGCGCCCAAAACCTGCCCTGGCCCCTACCAGTTCCTCTGCCAGCACAGAGCAGAGGCACCAGGGCGTTCAGGACAGCAGAGGACTTGGGCAACCCCCACCTCCTGCTGGGTCCCACCACGCTGAGCTCCCACAGCCTGGCCAGGGAGGACTCACCACATTGGACACGTTCGGAGAGGCTCCTCGCTGCAGCAGCGTCTTGACAATGGGCAGGTGCCCCAGGAAGGCAGCCACATGCAGGGGAGTCAGGCCGGACTGCGGAGAGAAAGGGGTCAGGAGCCAAGGTGGGGGCTGATGGCCCTGCCAACGTCTCCTCCTGCCCCCTCCCCAGGCTGCAGCCCACCCACCTCTGTGACGGCGTCGATGGAGGCACCCGTCTTCAGCAGCAGCTCCATCACACGGATGTGGTTCTTCTTGCAGGCGATATGGAGGGGTGTGAAGCCATTCTGCAGATGGACAGACGGATGGTCACTCACCAGAACACTCCCCCTGCCCCCTGCCCCA